GTCCATCTGCCTCATCTCAGTCTCAGTGTATTCCTTTTTCTCTCATGTACAATACATATCTAATTTTTCTCTCGAAAACAGAAAACCTATTTGCCTCCACCACTTCATGTGGTAGCGAGTGACACATTAAGACCACTCTCTGTTGAAAGAAATTTCTCCTTATTTACTGAATGGGTGCTTTAGCAACTATCGTTGTATTCATAGTGCCAAGGATGAGGGATCGAGTTTGCATGGAATGACTGAGGAAACTGGGATTGTTCGCTTTAGAGCACAGAAGATGACATGGAGATTTAACAGTGGTGTTTCAAAGAACAAAGAAAATTACAGCACAGGAACAGGCCCTTCGGCCCTCCAAGCCTGTGCCAATCCAGATCCTCGATCTAAACCTGTCACCTATTTTCCAAGGATCTGTATCCCTCTGCTCCCTGCCCATTCATGTATCTGTCTAGATACATCTTAAATGACGCTATGGTGCCCACCTCTACCACCTCCGCTGGCATCCTGTTCCAGGCACCGACCACCCTCTGCGTAAAGAACTTTCCACGCATATCTCCCTTAAATTATTCCCCTTTCACCTTGAAATCGTGACCCCTAGTAATTGAGTCCCCCACTCTGGAAAAAAGCTTCTTGCTATCCACCCTATCTATACCTCTCATGATTTTGTAGACCTCAATCAGGTCCCCCCTCTGTCTTTCTAATGTAAATAATACTAATCTACTCAACCTCTCTTCATAGCTAGCACCCTGTATACTAGGCTACATCCTGGTGAACCTCCTCCAAAGCATCCACATCCTTTTGGTAATGTGTCGACCAGAACTGTACGCAGTATTCCAAATGTGGTCGAACCAAAGTCCTATACAACTGTAACATGACCTGCCAACTCTTGTACTCAATACCCCGTCTGATGAATGTAAGCATGCCGTATGCCTTCTTGACCACTCTATTGACCTGTGTTGCCACCTTCAGGGTAGAATGGACCTGAACACCCAGATCTCTCTGTGCATCAGTTTTCCCCAGGGCTTTTCCATTTACTGTATAGTTCGGTCTTGAATTGGATCTTCCAAAATGCATCACCTCGCATTTGCCTGGATTGAACTCCATCTGCCAGTTCTCTGCCCAACTCTCCAATCTATCTATATTCTGCTGCATTCTCTGACAGCCCCCTTCACTATCTGCTACTCCACCAATCTTAGTGTCATCTGCAAACTCGCTATACCTTCCTCCAGATCATTTATGTATATCACAAACAACAGTGGCCCCAACATGGATCCCTGTGGAACACCACTGGTCACAGTTCTCCATTTTGAGAAACTCCCTTCCACTACAACTCTCTATCTCCTGTTGCCCAGCCAGTTCTCTATCCATCTAGCTAGTACACCCTGGACCCCATGCGACTTCACTTTCTCCATCAGCCTACCATGGGGAACCTTATCAAACACCTTACTGAAGTCCATGTATATGATATCTACAGCCCTTCCCTCATCTATCAACTTTGTCACTTCCTCAAAGAATTCTATCAAGTTGGTAAGATATGACCTTCCCTGCACAAAACCATGCTGCCTATCACTAATAAGCCCATTTTCTTCCAAATGTAAATAGATCCTATCCCTCAGTATCTTCTCCAGCAGCTTCCCCACCACTGACGTCAGGCTCACCGGTCTATAATTATCTGGATTATCCTTGCTACCCTTCTTAAACAAGGGGACAACATTAGCAATTCTCCAGTCCTCCGGGACCTCACCCATGCTCAAGGATGCTGCAAAGATATCTGTTAAGGCCCGAGCTATTTCCTCTCTCGCTTCCCTCATTAACCTGGGATAGATCCCATCTGGACCTGGGGACTTGTCCACCCTAATGCTTTTTAGCATACCCAACACATCCCCCCCTCCTTATGCCGACTTGACCTAGAGTAATCAAACATCTATCCCTAACCTCAGCATCCGTCATGTCCCTCTCCTCAGTGAATACCGACGCAAAGTACTCATTAAGAATCTCACTCATTTTCTCTGACTCCTCACATAACTCCCCTCCTTTGTTCTTGAGTGGGCCAACCCTTTCTCTCGTTACCCTCTTGCTTCTTATGTACGAACAAAAGGCTTTGGGATTTTCCTTAACCCTGTTTGCTAAAGATATTTCATGACCCCTTTTAGCCCTCTTAATTCCTCGTTTCAGATTGGTCCTACTTTCCCGATATTCTTCCAAAGCTTTGTCTGTTTTCAGTCGCCTAGACCTTATGTAAGCTTCCTTTTTCCTCTTTGCTCGTCTCACAATTTCACTTGTCATCCATGGTTCCCTAATCTTGCCCTTTCTATCCCTCATTTTCACAGGAACATGTCTGTCCTGCACTCTAATCAACCTCTCTTTAAAAGCCTCCCACGTATCAAATGTGGATTTACCCTCAAACAGCTGCTCCCAATCCACATTCCCCAGCTCCTGTCGAATCTTGCTATAGTTGGCCTTCCCCCAATTTAGCGCTCTTCCTTTAAAACTTACGGAATTGTGATCAAAGTAATCAAAGTTCCCAAAGTAATCCCCTACTGAAACTTCAACCACCTGGCCGGGCTCATTCCCCAACACCAGGTCCAGTATGGCCCCTTCCCGAGTTGGACAATTTACATACTGCTCTAGAAAACCCTCCTGGATGCTCCTTACAAATTCTGCTCCATCTAAACTCCTAACACTAAGTGAATCCCTGTCAATGTTGGGAAAATTAAAATCTCCCATCACCAATCTGTCTACGTATTTGTGCCTCTATCTCACGCTCACTGTTGGGAGGCCTGTATTACAGCCCCAACATTGTTGCCACACCCTTGCTATTTCTGAGCTCTACCCATATTGCCTCACTGCTCGAGTCCTCCATAGTGCCCTCCTTCAGCACAGCTGTGATATCCTCTTTGACCAGTAATGCAACTCCTCCACCCCTTTTACCTCCCTCTCTCTCCCGCCTGAAGCATCCATATCCTGGGATATTTAGTTGCCAATCTTGCCCATCCCTCAACCAAGTCTCAGTATTAGCAATAACATCATGCTCCCAGGTACTAATCCAAGCCCTAAGTTCATCTGCCTTACCTACTACATTTCTCGCATTAAAACAAATGCACCTCAGACCACCTGTCCCTTTGCGTTCATCATCTGCTCTCTGCCTACTCTTCCCCTTAGTCACACTGACTTCATTATCTAGTTCCTTACAGGCTTTAGTTATTACCTCCTTACTTTCCACTAACCTCCTCACTTGATTCCCATCCCCCTGCCACATTAGTTTCAACCCTCCCCAACAGCGTTAGCAAAAGCAGCCCCTAGGACATTGGTTCCAGTCCTGCCCAGGTGTCGACCGTCCGATTTGTAATAGTCCAACCTCCCTCAGAACCAGTCCCAATGTCCCAAAAATCTGAACCCCTCCCTCCTGCACCATCTCTCAAGCCACTCATTTATCCTGCCTATTCTTTCATTTCTAATCTGACTAGCAATTTAGGATAGGCTTTAAATTGCACTACAAGTTGCTTTTTGAGAAGGATGAAAGACAATGAAGTCCAGAAATCAGGAAATAGCTGTCGGGTTTTGAAATCCAGTCAGTTGTTGGAGGAAAGCTTGAGGAGGTGAGGGTTGCACAATTTTCTGCTCCTTGGTGATGTAGCAGGCAGTAAGTACCTGAAAGATTAGCTCCACCCGTAAGGACATAAAAGACTGTTCCTGGAAGGAGCTAACCAGTGTCTTAAAAGTTCCTCATGTGTGTGTTGCTGCCAAGTGCAGCATTTGTTGCCCATCTGTCATTGTCCTTGAACTGAATGGTTTGTCTGACCAAAAGGCAGTTAAAACTCAACCACAATGCTGTGGATCTGGAGTTACATCAAGGCCAGACCAGGTAAGGATGGCAGACTCCCCCCCACCCCTCTAAGGAAGGGGGAGGTGATGGCCTAATGGTATTATCGCTTGACCGATTAATCCAGAAACTCAGCTAATGTTCTGCAAATCCGGATTGGAATCCCAGCACGGCAGATGAATCTGCTGATGACCGTGAAATCACGTTGATTGTCAGAAAATCTCATCAGGTTTACTAATTCTGCCATCCTCACCTCATCTGGCCTACATGTGACTCCAAATGTGTTTGACTCTTAACTATCCTCTGAAATAGCCTTGCAAGCCATCCAGTTGTATCAATCACTACAAAGTCTCAAATCAATGAAACTGGAGAGATAACTTGGCATTGAGATAAACACCAGAAAAAAACAATAGCTGAAACAGCACTGTTGACTTGGCAAAGTCCTTCTTACTAACGTCTGGGGGTTAGTGGCAAAAATGGGAGAGCTGAACAAGCAACTAGCTGATATAGTCATATTTGCTGAAGCATATTTGACAGGAAATGTCCCAGCCACCACCATCACCATCCTTGGATGTGTCCTGTCACACTGGCAGGACAGACCCAGCAGAGGTATAGAATTGGGAGGGAGTTGTCCTCAGAGTCCTGACCGTTGACTCCGGACCCCATGAAGTCTCATGGGGCTTCAGGTAAAACATGGGCAAGGAAACCTCCTGCTGATCACCATGTAATGTCCTTCCTCAGCTGATGAATCAGTCCTTCTCCATGTTGAACAACACTTAGAGGAAGCACTGAGGATGGCAAGGGCACAAAATGTACTCTGGATGGGGGATTTCAGTGTCCACCACCAAGAGCGGCTCGACAGCAGTAATACTGATCGAGCTGGTCGGGTCCTGTTCACAGGACCCGAAATGCTAACTCTGATTTCTCTTCACAGATGCTGCCAGACCTGCTGAGCTTTTCCAGCAATTTCTGTGTTTGTTCCTGATTTACAGCATCTGCAGTTCTTTCAGTTTTTACTTCAATCATGGAGATGTTTTGTTTGGGCTGTGTGGGACTAAGAGGCACAAGTACAACCGACAGTGAATGCGAAGCTGCCTCGAATTACATGGGCCTTGCAGCATAGGAAGCGAGCCATAGGTCACAACCAACGTTTACATGTGCCTGTGTTTGTGCTTCACAGGGGCCTTCTTTCTGCCTACTCTACTTAATCCTAGATGAGATTCTTCCATTTCAAAATCCCATCCTTCCAACACAGACAGAGGTAGGAGTGGTGATATTATCAATAAACATAGAACCCTGCAACATGGAGATGGATTTAATTTCTTCTTATTCAATCATTGAATGTGGGCATTGCTGCCTGGGCCAGCACTTATTGTCCATCCATAATTGCCCTGGAGAAGGAACAGCGATATATTTCCATATCAGAATGGTGAGTGGTTTGGAGAGGAACTTGCAGGGGGTGGTGGAGTTCCCATGTATCTGCAGCCCTTGTTTGTCTAGATGATGTTGGAGTTGGGTTTGGAAGGTGCTGCCTCAGGATTTTTGGTAAATTTCTGCAGTGCGTCATGGTACACACTGCTGCCACTGAGGTGGTGAATGAAGGTAACTTCATTGCAGTCTCCTTTCCTAAGATGCAGTGAAGGGCATGAATTTTAATCCCCAAAAATGAATGAGTTCACGTCAGGTGAGAAGTTAAAATTTTTAAAAATCGAATCCTGACCACAACCTCCCACTGGTTCGACTGGGCTTGTACTTGCTAGAATTTAGAAGAATGAGGGGGGATTTCGTAGAAACATATAAAAATCCTGACGGGACAGGACAGGCTAGATGCGGGAAAAATGTTCCTGATGTTGGGGAGGTCCAGAACTAGAGGTCACAGTCTAAGAATAAGAAGTAAGCCATTCAGGACTGAGATAAGGAAGAATTTCTTACCCAGAGAGTTGTGAACCTGTGGAATTCTCTCCCACAGAAAGCTGTTGGGGCCAGTTCATTTGATATATTTAAGCGGGAGCTGGGAGTGGCCTTTGCGACTAATGGAATCAAGGGTTACAGAGAGAAAGCGGGATTGGGATACTGAAATTGCGTGATCAGCCATGAACATACTGAATGGCGGTGCAGGTTTGAAGGGCCGAATGGCCCACTCCTGCACCTATTTTCTGTTGCTGTGTTTCTGGGTTTTTAGTAATTTTGGGAGTCTATGAGGGGTAGAGTTGTGTATGAACACTTATGTTGCGATAAATGTAGGCTGGCCTCAAACTGTACTAGGCTATTCGAACTGACGAGTTCACTTTCAAAAGCTTGGGAATTAAGGTTGGAGGGCAGCAAGAAAGCAACCACAGCAAAAGCAGATTGTTACTTTGGTACATTCCATCCTGAGATAATGTCAGAGAAACATGACATGGTACAGCATGTTCTCAGCAGTTTCTGTGTATCGTTTTGTGTTATTTTGCTGATTAAATTGTGCTGTAAGGACACAAGAAACAGGAAGGACAAGTGGGGGTGGAGTGGCCTTTTCTCAACTCCCCTCTTCTACTTTTGCCATATCCAACCTAATTCCCTTAGTTTTCCAGAAATCTATATGTCTCTATCTTGAATCTAATGAGTGTCCGCAGCCCTTTGGAATAATTAATTCAAAAGATCTTACCTGTGATTTTAGAAATTTGTCCTCAGCTCAGTCCTAAATGGCCCAGCCCTTGTTCTGAGACTAACCCCTAGCTCTCGGTTCCCAAACCAAGAGAAACATCCTCTGAGCATCAACCTTATCAAGCCCCTTAAGATTTTTATAAATTTCAATGAGATCACCTCGCATTCTTCTAAATTCTAAGGAATATATTCTTATTTAAATCTCTCCTTGTAGAACAATGCCCCCGTTCAGTCCAGTCAACCTTACTTACACTCCCTCCAAGACAAGTATATCCTACTCAATGTAACAAGACCAATCTCGCACACAGTATTTCAGGTGTAGTCTCATAAAGGCCATTATATTTTTCTAAAATTTCTTCACCCTAACCTCTGTGCAATAAAGACCAACTTTACCTGCATGATCAGTTTAAAAGGACACCCAAGCCCCCCATATACAGTATATGATATTCAGACGCATCTGGGTGTCCTCAGTATGAGTATATAAAAAGATACAACGCAAGTTGTGGCCATTTCGCCCATCAGGTACATACCAGTTCTTTGAAGAGCCATCCACTTCACTCCTCTCCTGTAAATTCTTCCATTTCAAGTATACATCCAGCTCCCCTTTGAATATGTGCTTTGTTTGGAGCTAACTGATGTAAAGAGGTGGATTTTCCCTTACTTTGGGACACGGGAATCAGGTCAGGAAGTGGGCCCAAGTGGGCCAAGAGCAAGAACAGTGGAAGGCTGCCCCATAAATGACCCTCTCAGCACTCACTGCCCCTTGCTGTAGATTCCCCAAGCCAAGGGAAGCATCCTCGCAGCATCAACCTGATCAAGATCCTTAAGAATTTCTTATGTTGCAATGAGACCACCTCTCATTCTTCTAAATTCTAAGGAATATAGTCTTACTCAATCTCTCCTTGGAGGTCAATTTCCTAATTGAAGGAATCAATCTATTGAACGTTTTGTTGCACTCCCTGCAAGGCAAAGGTTTGGGATGTTGGGTGTGCTCGCAAAACCGCAACTGCAGTCAGAGGGCTGCCATCTTTGGAACCCAGATACCTGTACCAGAGAGAGGTGGGCACAATAGAGGCAGGTCCAGGACTGAGAGGCAGCCACAACATGCAAGCACCCTCTCTGCCAACCACAACCAGGAAGGCTTTGACAGTCGGCAGGGACAATGGCATGGAAGGGAAACCCCTGCATAGACCAACTTGGTAAAAGGCAGTCTTGTTATTGTCTGTCAAGACCCCTGGATTACCATCGGGCATTGAGCCGATGGCCTTGGTATGTGGCAGAGGACACTCTAAATTCAGCAACGTGTAGGAGCCCACTGATAGTGCCCCCTAACTGGGGACTTAATTGGATCAATTACTTTCCATGGAGTGGGCAGCTAACCCAACATCCAGCCCACCCCTGGGAAAGTCCCCCAGAGTTGGAAGTATGTTGGTGAACCATCCTGACATAGCTTGGAGACAATAAGGACTGCAGAGGCTGGAAGCCAGGACCTATAGACTCTGGCTTCCAGCCTCTACAGTCCTTATTGTCTCCAAGTCACTGACGCAACTCGGACGCAACTCAGTTGCTAGCACTGTCAGCCTGAGTAACAAGGTTCTGGGTTCAAGTCACACTCCAGAGCTTGAGCATAAAATCTAGGCTGGCACTCGGCTACAGCGCTGAAGGAATGCTGCAATATTGTCCTTGGATATGTTAAACTGTAGGTGCGTCTGTTGCCACAGCTGAATTTTTAAAAATCCACTGGATTGTTTCAACAAACGTCATGCCTGGGAGATTTTGTACAGCATGTGCGGCACATAAACAGGCCATTTCAGTCCATCCAGTCCATGTTGGCTTATACATTCCACTTGAGCTTTCTCTCACATTTCTACTTCTAGGTCTAGCGGGATAACCTGCTATTCCCCTCTCTTTACATACTTCACTAGTGATTCTACTATTTCTCCTACTATCCGTGTAAAGCTGATTGGTCTGTAATTGCCTGGGCATTTTCTGAGCACCTTGATAAACATAGCAATGACATTAGCTACTCACTAGTGTTCCAGCACTACACCTTTCCTTAAAAGATGTAGTACCTCTCCTATTGCTTACCTAAATTCTTTTAAAATATGCAGTCCATTTGGACCCAGGCTTTGAGTTTGATTAATTTATCTCACACAGCCCGTTTGAAGTCTTGAAATGGATTTATCTCATTACTCATTTCATCATTTAATGTGATATTCATCTCTTCCATCTCCTATATAGAAATTATTATTAATGGTTTCAGGCAATGTTGGGAGCTGTTTTCTTCGGTATTAGCATTAATTTCACACTATTACTCCCTGGTGTCCTGGACAATATTTAACCATCAACCAATATTTAAAATAGATTATCTGGTCACTATCATGTTTCCAGTTGTGGGAGCTTTCTGAATGCAAATTGGCTGTCGAGTTTCTTGCATTTCAATGGGATGACCCTCATAATTACTTCCTTCACAGCGAAATGCTATGGGACATGCTAATAGTTGCAAAAGACTGTAAAAATTTCAATTATTTCCTTTTCATTGCATTGTGATTTGAGAGAGGTTGACTGCCCATGTTTCTGACATCATAACAGTGGCTGCACTACAGAAAAAGAGCATTTCAAAGTTCAGAAGTTGTGAAAGTCCCTGAAGAGGTTCTGCCTGCTTATCCTTTGAAATTATCATGGATCATACAGTTAGCTGTAGCACTTTGTGGTAGTGGAATGTTGGCACAGCATGGAGGAACATTGCGGAGCACAGACACTGTAATTAACCCATGGACAGTGAGAGATTTGGGATCCAAGTGGGGAGCTGGAAAGGACAATGCAGTATTTCATTCCCATCCCCCTTTCCTCATCCCTGGATATGCCATCGGAGGAGCTGCCTGTCCACGGTCAGATCTGGCATCTGTGGCCTTCTCCAAATCAAACTCTTACCTGGTCGTCAGAGGATGTCTCTTCTTCTGTTTCCCTCCGGATGTCATCTGCTCCCACCTAGGACAGATTTATTGTCACGTATATTTTGTTACAAAATTTTGTACCACTCTCGGGCGCCATCTTAAAACACAGAAAAACAAACTAAACATAGACTATAAAGGCAGAAGAATAAAGAAATGAAGTTCAACTTTACAGCCCTTCTTGTTAAATGCTCAGCCATGGGCAGGACCTCATATTGGGCCTTATGCTCAGGAAGTCACTTGCCCTTAATTGGACAGAAAGTCCATCCTCTGTCACTCCTTGGCCATATCACCAAAAATCTTGCCCATGCGAACTGAGGTTTGGGAAGAGAGAATCAGAGAAAAGACTGAAATGAATGATAACACAGAGTGCCATCCTTTCTGTTTGTCAATGTTCTGAAATTTGGTAATATTGGAGTGTGTAAGAAGGAAAAAATGAAAAAAACAAGAAACGACAGAAATTAATTCAGAAGCTGGGAGAGAAATACATAAAAATGGGACTAATACTGAAAGGAATATAAGAAATTGATCAAGGGAGAGTGGAAAGTAGAAACAGTAGGATGGAATATAATAAGGGGAAAAAATCAGAGAAAGTGGAGACAGTGATAGAAACAACTAAGGGTGAAAAGAGAGATACTTCTATTGACCATCTAAAACCAAGAGG